GGCCAGCCTTCCTGGTCCCATGGGGTGCGCAGCGCGATGCCCACTGCTCCCATGGGCCCTCATCATGGCCAGCAATTCCAGCACCCCGGGCCGTCTAGCGGGGTAACCTTTGACCCTCCGCCCCCCCCTAAGTACAGCCAGCCCTTCCTGCCCCCTCGAACGGTTGGCATGCCGCCTGCCGTGGCTCCCATTGTCCCTCACCAGCACGGCCAGCCACCCCAGCCTGTTGCATCGGCTGGCCACACTCATCAGTGGCAGCCATCGGCTGCAGTGGGGCCCGGCCCCCAACACCAGTCGACTCCCGCACTAGGGGAGCATGCCCGCACTTTCCGACGGGAAAAGCTCGGTAAGTTGTTGCGCTGATTAAGTTTGCTGCCGGCGGTCTTCAAAATTGCCAAATCTGTTTGAGATAACGATGATGTATCAAAAGCATGCATTGGTTTATGTGTCAGGTTTGCAAACCACATAGTCGGCTGATCTGATTCAAGGCTTTAGCTCCAATTTGCACAACTTTTTGAAAGTGATCGGCCAAAAGGTCCATATCAGCAGCATACTTTCAAAAAGCAGACCATGCATTTGGAGTTCGGTTGAGCAGTTTAGCTTACTTCTAAAGGGTTACAGTCTTCTTCTGCAGCGTTGAAGAGAAAGAGGACGACAGACTCGAAAGACCTCTGTGCATCGCTTCAGCCTTCGAGCCATCGTTCTCTTGAGCAGAGTCACTCGGGGGGCCTCTCCTATGTCGGTAAGCTTTGGCATGTATATGGAAAGTTCGTTCATCTGCAGACTTCTTGATGACCATTTTACGTAAGACTTATGCACAAAGGAGCCCAGAAAACCGTCAATGTATCTAGCCAATCTCTTTTGGCAGGTCACATCCGACGGCGGCCGACCAGCTTACGTTTATGCACTGCCCACTTTCAATTCTGATGCACGCTTTTAGTTCCGAATCAGCCGGAATACTTGACGCAGATAGTACAGAAGCTTTGCATGCTAAGGCGTGCGGACTCTCGGCAGTCAAGGAATTCTGTTTGTAAAGGTCTGCTTTGCCCTAGCAAATCGTGTGTTTGCGGTTCTAATGTGTTGCCGTCGTGATTCAGGGAGGGACGGGACATCAAACGAGCAGCATAACATGGGCGTGGATGGGGCTGCTCGGGTTGGTCAAGACTCGTGAAGAGAAGTGGACGGCTGCCCTTCCTCAAGAAGCGCGGAGTGCGACGACCAGCACTTCGCGAACTTTTCCGCCCCGTATTGACCCCTGCCGAAGTTCGACTGTTCTGCGAGCTGTACGCCAAATACTCTAGCAAGAGCTCCACAAATTGGGCCAACATGTGCTATGAGTGGAATCAAAGGGCTGCTCTTACGGTTTCTCGAATCTCGGGAGCGGACAACGCCATTCATCAGAAGAATATTCCGCTTTTGAAGAAGTACGAGAAAGAGCTGGTTACGGGCATCATACGAAAGGATTCGTTGAACTCACTCTACGCTCACAACAACCCTTCCGTGCAGCCTTTCACCTACGCAGTGACTCCCATGGCCGCCAACCCGTTTGGCGCCTACGCCACCCCTTCGCCAAATTTTCAACACGCGCACCTATCCGCACCGCAGCCATACTCGACATTCGGAGGGCCGTTCGTGCCCGTTGTCCAACCACAGCCACCATCACATCCTTCACTTGCAAACACACGGTTGCAGGACATGAGCAAATCTTCACATGATCATCGACCAGCCAAGAACAATAGAGGGGGCAAAGGTGTAAAACGGCACTGCCGAAAGGGGTGCGGCAAACCGGTAGGTTTATGTATATGTCCGAATAGGAGAGCGATTGTAGAGCCTAGTGAGTCAGAAACCAATGAGCCACAGGCTTGAGGTCAAACCGGTAGCCCAAGGCTAGCATATTTTATTGTGATTGTTCATTTATTGTTATTTTTTTGGCTGCAATCCTGCATCGGCATAGATTATGAACTCCGATTTGGATTGTGAAGGAAAACTGCAAGATGGATTGATTACTGGACACCTTGACATAATATTTGGGCCCCATTTATTCAAGCCAAGATTGTCATGCATATATAAAGATTTGTAATCTAAATGTGCGAGAATTAGTATAACTGCAACAAGCTAGTGAATGAAGGTTTTACATCGATGGAAGTAGATATGTCTTCCAATATGTCTCAAGTGCATGTGAGTCTCTTTCCGTGACTACTATGTGGGCTAGATTACACGTAGCTTTGAACACTTTATAGCTTCGGTGCACACGATTCGAGCACGATTCATGGGGTTTCCAACCCTAAACGCTGTATTAGGTATGCACATGCAAGCAATGCTCGAGTCCAATCAGATCAAAATTTGGGCCCTTCGGGCCCCCGGGACCCCGGGGCTGCGCCCCGTCAAGCCCCCCGAGGCCGCCTTCGGCGACCCCGACCCCTCAATTTCGCTCAAAAAAACGCCCCGACCTGTACAATATTTTTTGCACCGGGGATGGGGAGCCCAAACCGGGGTCGAAAGGCCTCCGACCGACCGAGCACCGTGGTGCTTGGAAGTCCGAAGGGGGTGGACCGGAAACCGGGAACTAACTTAAAGGTTAAACCCTAAGGTTAAAACCCTAACTTCTTGCCTTGCTCCCATAGGTGCCAGCTCACCAACGTTGCAAGGCTAAGAAAGCCCCATCCTCTATCCTCACACTTAACAAGTTACAATGTCAGAGGCTGCAAAATTTCCGAAACCCCTCTCTAGGTGTATGATTATGTGGTAGTTGCAAGGCAGTTTTTCCCGATCCATCCTCTGACATCGAAATCGGCGTGCGTTGGTGCACTTCTCGTCCTCAAGATTGCATCAGGTTGCCCTGTGTTTTGGTCTCACCGCCTTGGACAGCCTCGATTGGCAGAGATGGCTTTTCTGCGCTGGAGCGGCGGAAGCGCTCTCAGACAAGCGGTGAAAAGTTTACTCGGAAGGGGTGAGTTGCGAGCGCCTGTCTTTAAGTGGCTAGGTTGCATAAAGGCTTGACTGTCCTATGAGAGCTGCACTTATCAAGGGCTCAATTTCAGTGAAATACTGCATCAGTTGGTTGTCCTTACCTGCTTACCTGCTACCAGCTTGAAACGGTTAGCTTCACGTGTTTGGCCACAAGATGATCCTGTCCAATCGCTGCGGAAGGAACATTTACATAGTTATGCTGTGGAAATGTCACAAAGTGACACGCCGCAAAAAAACTCTAAGGTAGTATTTATCCACCTGTTGACATGGTTGGAAAGGAGGGCGGTTAAGGTGGTGCTGCTGGTGATGTTGTGTTGCTTGTGACCCTCCCATTGCGATATCATTATATTAAAACTAACTCATCATCAGATGTTCTGATCAAAAAGGTCGACTGCAGGAGAGTGGAAGGGGATGTGGGGAAGGCAGGGCAGGGGCTACTGTTCCGACTCTATGACGGTGAGGCTGAAAGTATCACTGTAATAGCGTAGATCCTTACCAACATAGTACGGTCGGTCGTCATCCTCCAGCTGTTGAAAGAAAGCATAACCCTGCCCTTTCTCTATAGACTAACAAGTGGTGTTGTGCGCAGGATACGTATCCAGTTGTGGTTGTCCTCACAAGGAATGGAGAGGGTGCTGTTATCAGACAGAACCAGGTACAACTAGAATTCAGTGCTTTTCAGTGCTTTTCAAAAGTTCTTTCTGTGGGTAAGTGCTATGCAGAGCTGGAAGCCTCGTTCACAATTTCTGGCAAGTAGTCTAATCCTCATACTTCGACAATCTTTTGTGTGTATCTAGAATGAATGGAGTCGCAATGTCTCTCCAGTTCTGATCACCTGAAAGCACTTTCAATCACTCTGACTTGTCAAGCCCTTACCTCTCCTGCTCCTCCTCTGCAGTTTGATGCGGTTGATTCGCTGCTTGACTTGGAGCAAGCTGTGGTAGCAGACAAGGCCTCTGTGGTCCAACTCAAGAGTGCTTTTCAGGTAAGATATGTAGCAGAAGGTTTTGTAGAGGCTGTTGAGCTGTAGCAGAAGGTTTCGTAGAGGCTGTTGAGCAACTGGATCGTTTCTATCAAGAAGCATCACCGGGGGCTTTTGTCCACTGAATCAGGCCCCGCTTTAATGTTGCCTTATTGTGTCGTTCTTTTGGCCTCCATGGATGCTCAGCAGTACTGTTCTTTTTTGCTGTCATCCTCTGCAATATGCTTGTCCCCGTAGATCACAAGTCGCTTTATCTTGAACAGGAGCCCTATCTACTTCACCCTCCTTCTGCTGCGTCTTCTCTTTGGCACTGAAAGGACATTCTGCAAAGCCCCCAATCTTCACAAATCTGAATGTTTAGTAAACCATGTCAGTTGCTCACCACGGTTGCCTGAGTCTGTCGTGCAGGTTTTTTTCAGCACTTGAGCTGTGGGTGGACTTTTTACTTTGTCTTTGTTCGTGTTCTAAGTCGGAAGTTTCTGCAGTTCAAGACTCACTTAGCAAGCATTTTCTTGTGGCAGAGTGGCTGGGGTGCCGCAGTCATCAAGTACATCCGAGGGTTGGAGCGAGAGTCGAAGGATGCTCTCAGTAAACTGGCTGCTGCAGAACACAGGTGGGGCGCGCTGTCGGAAGAAGCGAGGGAGAAGGCTGAGGAGACGACGAAGGTTGTGCAAGGACTCAAGGACCGGTACAGCAGTCTCGTCTACCTGAACTCAAAGCATGTTACCAGTGAGTGGTTCCCTCTGAATTGTCTGAAGGGGATTCTTGTGCAATGGCCTGGGTTCTCATATGGAAGAGCATTTCAGATTTTTGGTTTGCTTCCAAGTTCAAGCTGAATGCTCTGTTACAGTAGGATACATTCACAGTGCATGGGAAGCAACGGGCATCCTGCCATGCTCCGCGCAATCATGAGGCAAGTACTGGAGAAGGCCTGGTTTGCTTTTCTTCCCTGCTGTTCTCGGAAGCACCTACGTTAGGAGACAGGAAAGTATGATGAGAGGAGCTGGAACTCTAAGAAAGGGTTGATTAATACTTATGACAGAGAGAGGCGGACATCACGCCAGGTCAGAATACCATGTGTCAGAGTTGCTGCTGATTGAACTCAGAGAGTTGGCTTAACACATACTGAATGCACATCGGTAATTGGAAATAGAGTGGTGTTAGAGGCCACACTATTCGTCGTACTTTAGTTCGTTGATGCAAAAATGGGCTCCAGACTGATGGCTTTATTTCATGGTGCGCCAATGTTAGAACTTGGCAGTCTGATCGGTTGAAACCGACAAACTCTGCCTGCCAAACCCTGCCAAACTCTGTCCAATACAGACTGCTGCCTGCTGGTACAGTTTGATGAACTTTGCCAGTCACAACCTGCCAAACTCCTCCCTAATATGGTTTGCGAGTCCGGCATGCCCTGCCATTCCGAGCAAATACTCCTGCTGAACCTCGCAAACCGGCCTACCAAACTTTCCCTGCTAAACCCCCATTTCCGATCAACCATTTTCTTTTCGCATCTTGCACTTTTCCAAAGTCAGCAAGAATCCGTGGCGAACATGAATCTTTCGTACACGCTATGTAACAAACACGTACTTGTGTCACTAGCAAGTTCGCCTTTTTTGCTGACACTGGACCTTCTGTCTTGCAGATTACATCGACGCCATATCCGACCTTGAGCGCAAGACAGGCCAGTCCGTTAAGAAAACCGTTCTTGAGGCCACGGCTGGCGAGATCCTCAAGTCGCATTTGGCTGGCGAGCATTCACACTCAGCCTGCATCAAGTACCTCACCGAGCTCGAAAGTGCAGGGGTGATCACGAAGGAGCCGTTCTCGCATCCAAAGACCGGGGCCCAGTGCTACAGGCTCACCAACCCACAGTTCTCTAAATGGTCTGTCATCGCCCACCTGGCAAGATGGTGAGCCTATCCGCTTGTGTGTGAAGGGAACCAGGCAATTTGCACGATCGGCCACTGAATCCTGATGAGGGTTATGAGTTGGTGCACTATTTCGAATTGAAAGACATCCAGAGAACACCAATTCTGGTTTAGACGCAACAAAATGTTCTGGGCTAATAGGCAGAAGTGATCTGAGTCTCTGCATCGGGACTGTCCTACTTTTCATATTCAACAAGCGACAATCATTTGATTTGCAGTCATCACAAAAAGCGACCTGAGCAGCAGCCCGTTGACCTGAAGCATCTGATGGAAATTGAAGAAGTAGTAATCAGATTTCTCTTTAAGGAAGTTCAGATATCTCCCATGGTTCCTGCTCGATATCCTCACAATGAAAATCGGTATTGCACAAGTGCCAGCGCTCTAGACTTCGCCCGCTGGAAAAGACGCCCCGTCTTGAGGAGTAGAGATTGAGCTTGTATTGCCTGACGATAGTCAAGTCTGAATAGGACTAGTCCTAACTCAATTAGTAACTATACTTACTACCATTTTATGGGTTTCTACTTTGCAGTGAAGACGGTGCGCTCCTTTGCCACACCTGCGCATCAAAAGAGGGGGTTCCGATTGTCCAGAAGCGGCTCGGTGATTTGCAGCGGTACATCGAGAGTAACGCTCAGGTTATTTGGACTGCATCGCATATGCCGCACCATCTACTCGACCCAAACGCCCAAAAGTTCATCCTCTGGAGGGGGGACCAAGAAGATGAAGAAACCCTACTGCTGGCCTCGTGCTTCGAGTAAGTGGAAAGGTCCCTTTAGGTGCTTCGTGGTTGGAAGCTGTTTTTCTTCTTCTCCATGTCTCCACCAGCAGTACTAGCCTTGAAACATTTTGGCAAGGAAGTGACACGAGTTGCTCTTCATTGAGGGTTGAGACGCCTTTAGGCTTGATCAGTTGGTTCGGCAGCGGCTTCCAAATTCCTTGGGATGTTATCGTGCTTTTTGACTTCGGCTGCAGCTGCGAACAATGTCGTTTGGGGATCATTTGGAACCGTCATCAAAGCTGCCCCCCATGCCATTGAGGCCACAATCTCCTCTACTTCTTTTTCTTTGTTGGCTCACCTCGAAATCCCTGCTCGTTGAGGAAAGTTGTGCTATATACGTTCCGCACCCTGGTCTGTGACAGACATAGTAGTCAATTTGCAGGATTCTGGGCTTTCCGTACGAGATTCGGACACAACCGAAGCACCCCTTCCTCCTTGCGGGACAGGTTATGGACGAAGCTTTGCGAGAGCTCGAACCCCATCTGAAACGTGAGTTTCTTGCTTTGGTGTGAATGTAAGCACTCTCGGAAATGGTTTTGGACGAAACTCTCTTCAGCTCTAGTCGCCAATACAGCCAGTAGCATCTGGAGTACAGAATGCTTGAGCCGCCACCTAGGGACTTAAGGAAGATGTTTCTGAGCCAAAACTTTCCTCCTGTTTGCCCCAACTTTCTCACAGCATATCTGCGCCTCTCAAATCCATTGTGCCTCGTAGATAGAAGCAGAGATTTACCTCATTGCTACTGCTTTGAAGACCACTTTTGGACACACTTCGGCGGTAGAGCTTGCGCGGAGATCTTCAATGTTCGTTTGGAAGTCTGATTTATTTGCATCTCTCTCGTGCAGACCTGAAACCCCCAAAGGATGCCCCGGTGTAACCAATGTCAATAGTTAGACCCGTTTGGCGGTGCGTAAGAGAATGTTTTGAGATCACACTTGTGTAGATTGTCCAAATGCGCTGGATGCAAGTCATGTGTAAAACAACAGGTCCCGCAAAAGGTGATTTTAAGTCACGAGTCATGTCAAAGCCATATCTTTTCCAAGCGCGGCGTATAGAACGACCACAAAGTTTGTTGGTGCACCATTTGGTGCACCAGTCGATCTACGAAATTTCTATGTAGCCTCATGCAAGATATATTCGAGTGGTGTGCCGGCTGCCATGGTCCGCATGTATGAACCGCTATTGTATATGCCATTTTAGAGCAAATGTCATCAAGCGGGAGTTCCTTTTCAGCGCTACGATTATAGACCAAGTTTACGCACTTTTCTTTACCATTCATCGCGTTTTTGATCGGCATGTGCTGTGGTGCATATCTGTGCCTTATAAGATTTTGAAGCTGACTACGTCTGGCCTCACTAGGTAGTCGAGAATCTGTATGGTTGAACGGCATATAGAGGGGCGTCACGTCAGCCCCCCCGGGCCAAACCGGTTGGAGAACCCCTGTGGAGACCGAACCCGGATCGAAAGCCTGCATGCTCCCTGACGTTTGGAAGATGCAAGGCGGTGCACACCATCCGAGCGCACAGACTTACGGCGCAAATGCCAATTCCCACCGGCCCACTTCTAAATTCTCCCAGATATTCTATAAGCAAGATTACCTTTAGCAGCCTAGCCGGGCAGTCTTGGAGCAGAAAGCATTCTATAAGGGCCTGTACACTTCTGTATAGGCTGGTGAAATTCGAAACCGGGCCCATTTTACCTGTCAGTCACAACATTTTCCGCTCAGGCTACTCCTGAGAGTACTCTAGTCAGACATGCTTGAACTTGGAACCTGAACGTGAAGTTGAAGCTGGCTTTGCAGCACCTTTGGAGTTTGAAGAGAAGGGCCACATAATGGCTGCCCTGAGCAGAACGTAGGCTCTTGCGTAAGGCGTGTTTTTCTCAGGTTTTTGATACCCTGACTTTTCTCCTACGAGTTGGTCAGCAATGGGGATGGCTAAGCTGTCTTCTGCATGCAATCTGCCAGCTGTCCACCATGCAGCTAGCTGGCAGCCCGGCACAATGCGGCACACAATGGCGGGCTCCGGCACCACTTTGCAGCCCTGCCAGCTGTCCATCTGCTTAGTCAGCAAAGCATCTTCTGACTCAGCTGGCTTGAGATATGCCAGGCTGGCTGGCAGGGAATGGCACCCGTTGGCGGCTTCCGGCGGTGCACCATATATAAGGTGCTCCAGAGGGCTTTTTCCAGCATTCAGAAGGGGGGAGTACATCGATCTGCAGAACCTCAGGTTAGGGGAGCTGGAGGCGAGGGAGCGCAACTTTCTGTGGTGAGCATCTATTGCTTTTTCAAGCTGTGCCTTGTTGCTGAATGAATCATCGTTGAAGAGTTACCTTTTTGAGCTGCAACGGTGGCTATTGAAGCTGCCGGGGGTTTTACATCTATAAAGCATCTTTATAGACTTGTATTTGTGGTGTCCCTCAAGTGCTGATTGCTGGCAACTGAAGAAATGGCTGTGCCTCAGCGGTTGTAGAATCTGGGCTTTCAGAGTCATTGTGTTTTCAGGTTGCAGCACGTAGGAGTCAATCCTAAGGTCAAATAGATTCCGGTCTCTTTCTGAGACAAAGACCATCATGAGGCATGTAAGGTCTCCAGCTTCGCAGGACCGTCAGCTCCCATCACAAAGTCAAGCAGCTGGGTTCGAGCATGCATCGCATGCCTAACACCGTGTGACTGATGTCTAGTGCCAATCAGAGACTGCGTCTTTTCTGGACTCAACTGATACATGCTATTATACTTGCAGGACGCCTGGGTGAATGAACACGGGTGGCCCATCTAGATCTCTACCGAGTGTTCTCACAAGCAGCGTGCCGCTTGCAGCGCTGAAGTATCCCTCTCTCAGGACGGCTGTGGGCCAGCGCAAAGTTGGCAATCAGCATGCATAGTGCCGGTGAGTGCACGCCAAGTGTCTGGTTTGATTCTTTCGTTCTTTGGAGCACGCGTCTAAGTTGCTGCTACCAAGTTGAATAAGGAACTTGAGTTGGGTTTCACGGGCAAGATTCATGTTCCTTGGACACTGAAACTCATTTGCCAATAGAAGGCAAGGATCCAGGACTGTTGTGAGAGCAAGAACTCTATGTGGCCAAGAAGTTGACTGTCCAGGTGTCCAAGCAAAAATCTTGAAGCCTGTAGGATGACGTCAGCAGATTGATGCCACTCAAAATCTTACCCCAGACCTTGGACACTTGGACAGACAGGTCAAGCCCAGCTTGCAGTGCTCTCGACGCTTTTAGACTGCACAAGCTTTGCACCTGAAACTTGGATTTCTCCCACATCCTTCCCAGATCCACATAGCCTTCATTGCCATGAGTGCGGCACCACCGCGGAGTATGGGCTTCGTGGAAGCAAGGAGGGTGGGGAAACGAGATACCTCTGCAGCGCGCACTCCCGTTTCAACGGCTGCTTCTGCATCGACAAAGACCGCGCAGGTGAGAGGTTTGTGAAGCCTTTGCACAGGCCTGAAGCATTCTTGCAAGCTTATGCATGTACAGCTGTGTCCATTAAAGATTTCATGTTTGTCGTCACATAGGGTCTCAATTCAATGCGCCTGCCTTTTGCAGTCTGGGTACGGGGTCGAGTTCAGCGCCGTTTGGAAGCGGCGGTTGCATGGCTCGAAGAGGAGCTGCAGCAGATGGAGGGGCCTGCCACGTCTCTTGCAGAGTCAGCCTCCTGCTTGCCAGGTGAGTTTTCTGCTGCCTTGCGAGGCTCTTGCTCTCAAAGGTTTAAGCTCTGGGGTGAAATGATCTGGTCATCCATCTCCAGTTTGTTTTTCGGTCGTTCCTTGCTGACGGGTTCAATTAGGGGTTTCCCTTGAGTTAGGGGTTTCTCTTGCAAGTTGTAGCTGACAGCATGGACTCGGTCAAGGCCTGTCCCATTTGTCCAAGGTCCGGCACAATGTAAGTCCGTCGCTCGATTGCTGACGTCATCAGTCTCCTATAACTAATAGCGTCGACTTGGACAGGCCCTGTCCAATCTGTCCAAGGTTTGGCGCAAAATAGTTCCTTCGTTCGATTGCTGACGTCATCGTTTCATTGTTGTTGATAGCGTGGACTTGGATAGGGCTTGTCCGAGCTGTCCGAGCTGTCCGAGCTGTCGCGCAAAGTATTCCTTTGTTCGACTTGCTGACGTCATTAGTGCCTTGTAACTGATGGCATGGACTCGCTCAGGGCCTGTCAGAACTGTCCAAGCTCCGGCGCAAAGTATTTCTGTCGTCCAGCTTGCCGACGTCACCAGACCGCCAGTCTGTAGTTGACGGCGTGGACTCGGACAGGCCCTGTCCGAGTTGTCCAAGCTCTAGCGCAAAGTATTTCTGTCGTCCAGATTGCTGACGTCATCAGCTGACGTCATCAGTGTCTTGTCGCTTTCAGCTGATCGCGTCGTTTGTTGCTTGTGCAGTTTGGGAGGCGGCCAACTTCAAAGCGGCGCTGCCCCCCACGAAGCCCATGAGCCATGCGCTGCTAGGTAAGGCGCTGAATACCCTACGTTCTGCTTAGCAGTGCCTGCCCCTTTCATCCTGCAGGGAAGCCCTTTTTGTCAGCGTTCTCTTTTTGTTGCGAGTTGTCCAAACGTTTGAGCATCGCAGTGCACCCTAATCGCCCTCTTTCCGATGTATGCAGCAATACTCTTGATGATTGGTTGCGTCGAGAGCAACCCGGGGCCCTCATCAGACGGGGTGGTGGGCAGCGCGGATTCGGCCTCAGCCTCGTTCCCGCCCCTGTCGCAGTCGCGCCCGACCCCTGTGGGGAGCGGTGGAGGAGATTGGGACGTGGAGGACGCGAGGATGGAGGTGAGCGCTTTTTTGTATCTCTTACGGTGTTGTTCACAACATTTGGTGATTCGACACTACAAAATGCAGTTCACAGAGCAGGGTACTTCAGGTTAGAGTTCGGACCATCTCGAGTATCCAACCGAAGGTCAGGCCATAGGGTATGAGAGTACGGATGACGTCATGAAATCAATCTTCGAAAAGGTTTAGGCAAAAGCTTGGACATCTTGGACGCCCACGTAACAGGCTTAAAAAGAATCGTGATGACGCCAAGTTTGGAGGCAGAAAGTATTCAATCAGATCTCGCAGGGACTGGAGGTTTTCTTAATGTTCTGAGTCGGCAGCTGAAGCGGCAGCTTCACATGATCCGATGCTGACGTTGACCATCAGATAGAGGGCTGCCTTCAGCCCCTCTCTCTTGTGGACCTACAGGGCGCCCGACTCCCCGCCAGTCTTCAGCGTTTTTGCATTTTTACGGGGCTCTTATGCGAATCTCCTGTAATGATGGCTCGTGTATGTGGCTATCGGGCACGCGCTTTAATAACGGCTTGAAGGCAAACAGGGCGCGGCTGAGGTATCTCCCGTCGATCTAAGGCTGTGGGCTGTGTACGGTGCTCACACATTCGCCTAAAAAGCAGTGCGTCCATCCAAGCATCCCCTCATTCTGACCATTTCCGTTCCTTTCTCTTTCTATCAGGAGAGTGGCGGTCCGAGCATGGAAGCAGAGTCCCAGGGAGAGGACATAGAGGACGTGGAATTCAACCGGGAGGAAGAGTCTTCTGACGAGGAGACTTCGCAGGACCGTGCCTTCAGGAACGATTCGCCTCAGCCACTGGACCACCCCCCATTCTGCGAGTACGCTGCAATGGACGCCGAGCTCTGGCCGTCAGAGACAGAGTCGGGCGTTCAATTGGGGGGGCCACGCAAGCGGGTCAAGCGCGTAGGGAGCGAACAGAGTGGAGAGTCGCAGCCCCGTCAGCGGCGTCGTCGCCGGGTGATCTTGTCGGAAGCGGAAGCGGAAGCTGGCGAGTCGGGCTCCGAGGAAGGGGGGCAGTCTGCTACGTCGAGCGAGTGGGGGGACCTTCGTAATGACGACGACCCTTTCTGGGGCTGGGACGACGAGCGCGAATCCGAGGAGCTGCGCCAGTACTTCAGCGTTTGCCGCATCCACCCTCGTTCGGGGCAGGAGCGCAGGGAGTCTCTTGCGCGCCAGGTGTGCCCACTTTCCATGGTCGATTGTCTTTCCGAAGTTGTTCAAGTTCTCGTCGAGTTGAGGCCTGAGCAGTTCGTACGGAAGTGTATAGTCGATCATGTTTGCCCTCCCTTCGTGTACATTCCCAGGCATTCACGACATTGTTTGAGGATGTACACGAATTAGTGAACCTGATGCGCGCGCGATCAGCTTCGGCGTGTCTCCTATCCTAACATCTGATCGGAGCTTGCCCGGTTGTGATTGTGATCTTACTTGCTTTTCTTGTGCGGCTAACTCGGGTGAGATGTTTGACTTCGGCTTCTCTTTTCTCATGTGATCGATTTGGAACTTGTGCAGGCGGTGCCCCAGCACGGCGAATCGATGGCTCCCGTCGCAGCGACAGCGGCCACTTCTGCCGGGCCATCCGTCCGAGATGCGTCCATGTCTGCGGCCACGTCAGCACTTCCTACGCGTGCCAGCCCCCGCGCTGCGGTGCAGGAGACGACGCCCTTTCGCCAGGTAGGCTCATGTTCGACGGGCTTCGTTATTTGGAGAGCTCTCCTTCGAAGCACGGGGTCCTTTGCTTTTGGCCACCAATCCAGGTGCGTGAGGTTTGGTGTGAAGTATCCCTTTTCTCTCTCTGGTGACGACAACGCAACAGGCTGGCCGAGATCCGCTGCTGACGTCATCGTGTGTGTCCGAGCTGAAGATTCAGCGCCAAACCTGGCCAAAATCGCCTTTTGCAAGACCGCTTATTAGTAGGGCTCGCTGGTCTAGGCTCGCTGGTCCCTCCAAACGTCCGAGGCCTGGTCCAAATAACCTCGGACATGTTTTCGTTGACGTCATTGACTGGCTCTTGGGGATTTTGTTCCGAAGCTTGGGACATTCGGACAACCTCTATCCGCCAGACATTGTTTTGATTGCAATTGCTTTCGGTGAGTCTGGGCACTCAAGGGGCTGTCGAAGTGTCCGGGGGTTGGCATAAGATAATTCTGGCAGCTATTCGCTAACGTCATCGTACTGGTTCCGGAAGATTTCGTCTGAATTCTGGACACTTCAGAAGGACACTGAACATTTGCCAAGGTATCCGCCAGACATTGTAAAATTGGGGTCCCTTTAAGGAGGGTTGGGCGCTTGGAGCTCTGTCCACGTGTCCAAGGTTTTGCCAAAAGTATTCACGGTGTTTCGTTGCTGACGTCGTCGCAGCTCTATGATATGTTTTCGGAGCTCGGGCGACTTGGACAGGCGAGGCCTCCGCCGTTCAGCGCAGAGCCTGTCCGAATGTCCGAGTTTTTGCCCAAACTTTCGTCTCGACCTTCCCTGATGACGTCAGCGCCCAGGCCAGGTAGAATTTGCTGTAATCCACAGCGCAGAGACTGTCCGAGTGTCCGATTTATTTTCGCCAAAACTTTTCTTCGACCTTCTCGGATGATGTCAGCGCCCATGGGTCAGCACGGAAGTTTTTCGTCTTTTTCTACGCGCACTTGTCCAGGGAGGCGAGCACGGGGCGTTGAACACAACGCAATACGCCGGGGGCTGTGCTGCTGACGTCATGCAGTAGCACAAGGTCAGAGTCATGGCAAGACCTCGGACACTTGGACAGGGTTGAGCCGTCAGTCTAGCGCATACTACGCGGGACGGGCTGCTGACGTCACTAAGAACCTCGAAGGTAGAATCATGACAAAAGCTCGGACACTTGGACCAGCAGCTTTGGCTTTTTTGCAAAGGCTTTCACAGTTGCTGCACCCCATGTGCGCTTTCCCCATGAGCGACTAGGAGTTCGACCAGACCGCCATGAACCAGCGGGCCACCTTGGGTGCTTATTTTCGACCTCAGTCGTCTGCTGACTAAAAAGCAAGCGCATCTCTTTGCAGGCGGCCAGCAAGGACAACCATCAGCTGACGAACTCACCCAGTGAGGACGAATCTCAGAGCTCGGAATCGGAAGGAGAGGGCGAGGACATTGAGGGGGCAGAGTTCGAGAGAGAGGAGGAGTCTTCGGACGAGGAGACCCCCCAAGGGTCCATGTTCGACGACGCTTCTCAAGACGAAGAGAACCCTGTGGTTCAGCACGGCCGGTACAACGCAGCGATGGACATCGACTCCGAATCAGAAGACTTCCCCCAGCTTCTGAGGCGGAGGTTCAAGCGAGGAGCGCCGGAGGGGGCAACCAACCTTCGTTCCCCTCTTCAAACCAGGCGCCGGGCTCGTGCGATGCTGGCTTCGTCTGAGTCCTCTTCTGAGGAGGGCAGCCCACCCCGACACCAGAGCCCCGCACGTGTTGAGGACATGGGGCGCAGAGGGGCTGACCCTCCTGAGTCTGGTGCGGGTGCTGATCACCCAATGCCTGAAGCAGCCCCCCAGACCGGTGACAGCGTGCCGCGGTGGCTGTCCAGCGAACCCCCCCCCAGACCCGAGGACGACGGCTGGCTCGAGGGCGACGACCTAGGGCCTGGCGACGTGGACCAGGTCGGGGAGGACTTTGTCACCAAGTGCGTGATCGTGCCACGTCCGCCGCGGGGCTGCAGCAGTGTGAGCTTGCCACGAGTGCTTCTTTTTTCCCCCTTCTTTCAGAATTCGACCTTCTGACCAGAAAAAGAACGCCGGTGTTTTTCCGACTGGGTTAGCTGCTCGGGTTAATCCGACTGACCAGATTCGCGGACAATGCATTGCTCTCATAGATCCAACGGTCTCTTGACGATCGGCGGGGTTTGAGTACATTCAGCAACACGGAGTCAGTATGGTGTACATTCGCACTTACTTTTATGGAAATAACTGCATCTGTACACGAAGCTTACCGAAGCCATGACCAAACGATCCTAGGTTTTGGCTGTTCGTTTTCCCAGTTGAAAATACCCAGAAAGGTACTTGCCGAGTTGACTTCCATTTTGGAACCAGGCAGGATCGCACTTTTGGCTCTTTTTGATAGAACGCAACTTTTTTCCAAGCCTCTAGATGACTTAGTGACCAGTGCGTTTGGAGTACTTGTGTAAACCATTACTCAACTTTGATGTCCATCTGAAGTACAATCTCAATTGCGCTCTGCATATCAATGTAAATGTACACGAAAGACGACCAGAGCCAGTATAAAGATATGCGAATCTGGATTTTCTTCCTCAGTAGAACGGTGGTCCCAGATCTGGCTCCCTGGTGAGCGGCTTATTGCTTTGCGTATTGCATGGTCAGCGCATCTCCGACTGCTGATTCAATATGTCGTTGTCATCTCCTTACAGTCTGCTTGCCCGGCCGTTGCCACGAGCGCCGCTGCTGCTTCCGGGCTCTCCGTTTGCGAGCCGTGCGCGCCAGTCGCTGTGCGCCCCTCTGCTCACGCCTCGCGCACGGCTGCTGGTGACCTGCCCCGTTCCCCTCCGCCCTCCCCAACCGGCCAGGCAGGCCCCAGTTCCGCTGCGCGCGTCCCTTGCGCTGATGCCAGCCCTCGCCCTGCTGCTCAGACCAGTCCCGTCCCCGGGGCCCCTTGCGTCGACCCGTGCCTGGCCACAGCGCACCACTTCCACAGCCTCGGCGTTGTGTCCATGACCCTCCAGATCCGGGCTTATAAGAACAGAAAAGGGGTGGAAAAGAAGAAGCCTATCGGGCTGAGGCGCGATTGGGAAAGCAAGTGCGACATTGGGAATTGCCTCCAGAGCTGGGTCCAACCACGACAGAATTGCTTGGCCATGTCAACGGGGGCTTCGGACATGTATGTGGTAGACATCGACTCTAAAGATGGCGGTTGCGAGGCCTTTGACGAGATGCTCGCGGAGCACGGCGCCCTCCCTGCTGACACCCCATGGGAGTGGACGGGGCATCGGCCTGGGAAGCACTTCTTCTTTTCCCTTTCTCAGTCGAAAGAGGCGGGCCTGCAGGGGGTTCGCAACAAGGGCGGGGTGTGGTACAAAGGCAAGAAGGTGGGGATTGACACACGGGGGGAGAGAGGAATGCTCTTTGTCGCGCCCTCCAGCTACAAGGGCCTGGACGGGACGGTCCGCCAGTACGAGTGGGTCCAAGAGATTGCCCCCGACCGCTCCAACTTGCGGGCATTGCCTGGTTGGCTGATTCAGATCTTCAATGCGAGCGATGCGCATCCTCCCGCAAGCGCCCCCAGGTGCGTGCTTCCCTCCACCGAAGCGAATGCGCTCTCGTGACACGACTAGCAGAGTCATTGTGTCTGAGTGTCCGAATTTATGCCATGACTTTCGAGCGGCTTCTTTCGATGACGTCAGCAGCCATCCCGGGCAAAATCGATGTGATTGATGGCGTCGATCATGTCCGAGTGTCCGAAGTTCTGCCGTGACTCTTGAACGGCTTCTTTCGATGACGTCAGCAGCCATCAAGGCAGCAGTCCGGTTTGGACTGACAGCCGAAAAGCTGTCCGAATGTCCAACTTTGTGGCGCGATGTCGAGAGTCCAAAGTTTGTGGCGACCTTCTGAGTGGTCGTTTGATAAGGTCACCAGCCACTCGTGCAAATTCTACAATCACACATTCTTTTGCTGACCCTCCGTGTCTCTTGCAGGTCGTCCGATCGGGTCGCTCGCTGCGCTGTTCGTTTCACAGAAGACGTTGACGATCCGGTCGAAGTCGCCCACCCTCCCGCAACCGCGCTTCTGAGGCGCATCGAGGAGAGTGTTGCGGCCACTGGCGATCTCCGCTCCCGTTTCGACAAGCGCAAGCGCTCCCCTGTTGGCGACATGTACGTCTTCCGGGTCGCCGGCGAGCGCACGTGCCCATATGGGGCGCACCACAGCGGCTCCAACAACTTTTGCGTCCTGGTGCACGGGAAGAAACTCCTGTACCACTGCAGCAGTTCCGAGTGCTGCGACATCCAGCCCAAGCGCATGATTGGGGAGCTCACGCTGCAGGAGAGCATGCTTGGGCGAGACAGCGCCCTTTGGAGCGGAGGACATGACTGTCTACGGGAGGCTGACGAAGGTGTTTGTGGACAACTGGGCCTTTCAGGGAGACAAGGGTGGCAGCCGGATTGTTGCCCAGATGTATTCGGACAGCCACAGGTGAGCACCAAGCTCTCATCGACTTGAACTAGCATTCTGTTGCGGATTGACATGCAGGTCGGGATTGCATTGAGTGATACAATCACTTCCGTCCCATTTTGCACTGTGTTTTGGCACGTGTGCAGCACAATTTCGGATCACTAAGCGGCCTTTTGATGCACGCTGTGATTGCAAAGTGAAATGCACATCTGCAATTACAACTTGATAATCTCATCGCAGTTTTCGCAGTACCTCTGGTGGCTGAAATCCTCATAAATGTCAGATACTTCTGGGATTGTCGAAATCGTTACTGTGTCCAGCAACTCCACATCGCTACAGAGCTCTGTGCAATAGCAGTTTCTCAAAGAAGGCAACTGCGGCAGTACTGGCATAAAGGCGTGAAGGTAGGCGCTGTCACTTGGGGCAGAATGTTCTTCGGAGTTGGGTTGTTTTGGTATGTCGACATCCTTCCGGTTGAAAAAGTATGATCGCAGGGTGGGTCCGCCGCGCAGCCGAAAGATTGCAGGCTGGCTCTGATGTACGCAACCATCGTCCTTTTGTCTTTGTAGACTTGCCAGCCGCTTTGATCTGGCCGAAAGTACTTGCTCTCCGGCAACCCGTCCACAAAGACGAACTCAGTGTGCGCGTGTGCGTATCTTCTGATCGGCCACATATCGACCAGGGCGCCCACGTACAGCATCATCTCAGCAATTAAGATCTAAACGAGACATCGTTCCCCTTAAGCTTGAAAGCGATTTCGAAAAGCAGTAAGCCAATCTGTCTCGCGTAGCGTGGCACTGACACCCACATCGGTCTTCGTCTTTCTCGGTGCAGGCTCTGGCACGATTCGAAGGACTGGTGGGTCTGGGACGGCCGGCGGTACGAACGGACGACCAATGCTATTGTGCGATACACCATCACGCATCAACTCAGCATCGTGTATGGGCGCCTTCGAGAGCAGCTGGAGGTTCAACTCGAACAGGCCGATGATGACGAGGAGAAGTTCAGGCTTATGATGTTGCTGAAGCTAGTCAAGAGCTACAACAACAAGCACGAGGTGGATGCGACATTGGGCATCATGGAAGGGGAGATGTTCCAGCACTTTGCGGAGGAGTTGGACAGCGATCCTGACATCCTCAACGTCCAAAACGGGGTGCTCCACCTGCGCACAGGCCTGTTGGACCTACAGGCCCGGCTACATGTGCACAAAGTTTGACGATGTTGCCTTCAGGGTGAGTTTTTCTTCTTCCCTTTTTGCTTCCAAACATCAATTGCACTCCGCTTAGTGCCTCACTGGAACCGAGCACGACCGCTCGCCTTTTCGGACGTCCAGACAGCCAGCCTGATCAGCAACAAAACGCGGAAAGGACCAAGCGTTCACATGTGCGGAAGACTTGAAACTGTACCCGGCAGAATGGTCGACATTAGCAAGTCAGCTTGGCATATATCTCTAACCGCGACTGCTATCTACAGACGCCTTCTCAGTTGATGGTTGCTCAGTCTTTTGCCACACTTTTGGGAAAGATTGGGGCACCGTGCTCAAGTTTACTTGCCAATCTTGCGCAGGGACTCGACCTTCCGACCCCCACACTTGACGCTTTTCTGGCGGACATCTTCAATGACGATCGGGGCCTCATCGACTTCATGCAGCGGCTCTGGGGATACGCCATGAACGGCCGGACGTCGGAGGAGATCATCGTCTTTCTTCTCGGCAGCGGCGGTAGGTCCACTTTGCAATAGCTGAACATGAATCTTTGTCCGAACGCTGCCAGCTTGCTTGCTCGGTGTCAACGCTCCTGCAATCAGACAAACTTTGAATCCTCAGCCTCATCTCAGCATCTGTAAGTGCGGAGTCCGAGTGTCTGAGTTTTGGAAACAAGTTTGAACCTCAAGCTCCTCGATGACGTCAGCAGCCATCCGACGAACTATTCGTTAGATTGACTGCACCGAACGTATGCTAAGGGTACGTCTTGTAAGCTTTTTAGACTGTGCACGGATCGAACGTCAAGCAGTTCGTGCTTATGTCTCCAGGTAACGGGAAAGGGGTCTGTAAGCAGATGCTGGAGACCACGCTTGGCGCTTACTACGGCGTCATGTCAAAGGACGCCGTGGTAAAGCCCCCTGGACAGCGCGCCCCCTCGAAAGGCGCAGCCACGGGCTACCTGGCCGAATTGCAGGGCTTGCGGGTTGCCATCACCGACGAGACCAGCCCGGGCGAGCGCGTGGATCTCGGACTGGTGCTCACGATGACCGGCGGCGGCAAGATCAGTTCCCGGCTGCTTTACCAGAACAACGTTTCGTTCCGATTCTCCCACACGCCCTTCATCCAAACGAACTACGATCCCGAGGTTCCACCCACGCTGGCCATCCAACCCAACGTCGAGCGCCGCCTGGTCGTGGTCCAATTTCCGAACGAGTACGTCTCGGACGACAAGTTCGACGAGTCGAACCCCAAGCACAGGCACCTTGACACCGAGCTCAAGGAACGGATGGAGACGCCTGCCGTTTGTGAGGAGTTCCTTACCTTTTTGGTCAGAGGCAGTTGCGCGTGGTACGCAGATCCAAGTGTGTTGCGCAGGCACCCACCGGCAGTCCAGGCTGCCAAGATGGCTTGGTTGCGCCGTGGAGACAAGCTGCAGACGTTTCTGCAGTCAGAGCATTGCCAAGTGGATCCGGAGGGGACCCCCGAGGGAGCCCAGTCCGTCGCATGGGAGGACGACTTTTGGAGGCAGTTCCAAGAGTTCGCAGGGGTCAAGATGTCCAAGGAAGAGCTGGCTAGGCAAATGCGCGCAAAGGGCTACAACAGAACGAAGCGAGGCGGGCGCTTCGATGGCGTGCCACCGTCCCAGCGAAGTTCTTGCTACGTAGGGTTGAAGTGCGAATACGAGTGATGATATGTATCTGAGTGTGAGTTATGGGCATGGTTAATTGCGCCGCTACTGGTACTATAGAGACCGATTAGTGATGACAAACATTCGCAGTTGTTTATTCACGAGTGCAGAGTTTTTGTACATAATGACTGCAAGTTAGTAGCGGCATTCATCTAATCCTGCTAATGCTTTTTTAATCCTGAAGGCCCGTCTCAAAACCATCATTCTATTGGCATGCATTGCCCACATACGGCGTGGTTTGCTACCTGGCGGCGTTGAGTATCTTGGAACTTAAGAAACTTCTGATTGTCCGCGGGGTGCGCCATTTGCAGTCGAGATCCATGGCAATAACTTGGACACTGTTCCCACCGTCCATTACTACTCACATACTGCCCGGAATGGTTGCTGACGTCGTCAAGCGAGCCCATTGCAAAATCATGGCAAAAACTCGGACACCCGGACGGGGTCTGCGCTATCAATTATAGCGCATACTGCTCGGGATGGCCGCTGACGTCATTAGAAAAGACCCTGCTAAAAGTCATGGCCAAAGCTCGGGCACTTGGACGGGGATCGCTCTATCAACTACAGCGCATACTGCCCAAGATCTATGGTTGCTGACGTCATCAAGCGAGCCCCCTCCAAAATCATGGCAAAACCTCGGACACTCGGACGGGGTCTGCGTTATCAATTACAGCGCATACTTGCCCGGCATGGCCGCTGACGTCATGAGGGAAGACCGGTGAAAAGTCGTGGCAAAAGCTCGGACACTCGGACGGAGTTTGCGCAGGCCAGCGTGCTGGACGACGGAGCGTATCGAGGCTTAGGAGAATTTGAGATGTACACCATCTTCAGTTTCAGGTAGACTAAGTCACGGGATGGCACATTCCAACATCGCCTCAAACAGTCATTCCAACGTGCCTGCGGTATCCAGACAGCGCTGGGAAAGGCGTGAGGGCCGCTATGTCTGCCTCGAGCATCATTCGATACAATCTGAAGGTGCATGCAATAAGGACTTTGCTTCGAAGCAGGCTCTCGAGGCCCACCGTGCAAGGACCGATTGCGAGCCAGCAAAGCTACCCAGCGAGCGCCCCGTCTCCAAACTACGAGGCCTGAGCCCGGATGCCGCCCGCTGCATGAAGCAGCAAGGCAATCAAGCGGCGGTCGCAAAGTACAGGACCAGTTTGGGAGGAGAGCGGGCCGTGTTTCGCGCTCGCCATATCGCGAAGTACCGCGCTCTATCCATGACTGCCGTACTGACACCCCCGGAGCCCGTAGCACCGAGGTACATGCCGCCTCCGATCTCGTGGCTTCTAGCGGACGCTCAATTCACCCCCAACGAGGTGAAGTCGAGGTTCGGCTCCGCGGCGATCCAATTGAGCCACTCGACTTGGTCCCTCAGGTTTCATCCAGACAAGATTCAGGTGAGCTGAATAGGCTAAGTCTTCACCGTTGCAACCAAAAGAGGCTTTATTCATGTACATCTACAACCATTGCAGTAGCCCGGGGCACATTTTGCAAATATGATTTGCAAGAACAGTGTACATATTCCAACAATGTGTTTGCATGTTGACAGGAGAGGAGCGCACGACATCTGGAAGAATTCAGGCGGCACTACAGTGACCGGCTACGAGAGCTTGAATGTGGAGGAGCGGATTGCCTTTGGGAAAGGGTCCGAGCTCACTATGCAACAGAGCTCTTCGCGCCTCTGAACGACAGCCGTTTCAAGCCCGGCCTGATTGCCCAGAAGTCAGGAGGCATGCTCTGGAAGGAGTGGCTGAACGAAGAGTTCGCACTTGTTAGAGAGTACATCGTCTATCTGCTGAAGTTTGCCAAGTACGAAGAACGAATGAAGGAGTGCTCAAAGAATATGCTGGATGAAGCGAGGAAGAACTGGATCAACGACCAGCTGGAGAGGCAATTTCGAAAGTCGAAGGCCTTTAGACGATGCCACGCCTCATCCAACTAGAAGTCCGCTCGTAAATGGATGTACATCATCTTGGCCGTTCAATTACCTCCCGCAATTTGCTCTGTACTAATCTATAACGTCCACAGAATTGGATGGATTCTATTATTGGTCATCAACCTGGAGATCGAGCTATGATACGCGACATGGATCAAAAAGTATCTCGATCGGTGAGACTCGCAATCATGAGATCGTATCAGGACTTTGGATCCATGAGCACTGACCTTGATATAGGGTCCATAGCAGGTTTGCGGGCGCTGACTCGACCTTTCAGTCTTGATCACATTACTCGGACCATTGTCAGGTCCCTACTTGCTGAGGGCTTTTATGCGCATTGGGACAAGAGCGGCGTGCATGGATCGCCCTACTGCGTTCACGTAGATTGGCGAATGGCTCTCAATAGCGCCCGAAAAGCAAAACGAAATGCTCTTAAAACTCAAAAACCACGAGCCAGGATGCATGAGCGGAGCAACGGAGATGTTCAGCACAGGTCACACGATCTCGAGCGCGAAGCAACTGGGGATTCGCCAATTGGTTGGACCGGAGACGATGATGAGGTCCTGGGCCTCGAACTGCTTGCGAACCCGGCGAAGAGGTCGGCATCAGCAACAAGTAACGGAGCGTTGCCCTATCTAGAAAAATGAATGGCGTCAAAGTGCTCAAAGAAGGAAAGATGTACGGCAATAATCACGTTTTCTCGCTTACTCACTTTTCGGCCGAAAATAGACTTCCTCGACCAGGCCTAATAAGGGTTCTAGGACCTCATTTTTACCGGATAACTTGCAAAAGCTTTTATGTGTCTCAGATCGCGCAGAAAAAGACGAACATCCATATTCACTTTTCCAGGACGGACCGATTCGTTTGCTGGTCAACATTTTTCCGATAGTATCTAAGATAACTCAACTATGCAAGCTTCTAAGGCTGACGCGCGCTCCATAACCTTGCCAAGGACACTCGAGCTGTTACAAGCTGTATTTGATGATGGCAGTAGGAAGGCAATAACCATCAGCCAATATTGCAATCATGTCGTTCGATTGTATAAGGGGTTGTACGGTCCAGAGGCAGAGATAACAAGCTTCGATTGGCTGAAGGATCCGACTAAAATCATCGATTACTTTGCTAATACATATCCAGACAAGCTCTCTATGCAAGCAACGGGGATTAACCCCCTTCTCGTCGTGGTAAGGAAGGAGTTCCCGAAAGAGAACGAGTTGTATCAAACATATTATAAACGGTATCAAGCGGTCCGCGAACTGATGGAACGGGCCAAACCTGCACCGCAGGTGATGACCGAATCCGAATTTCGGAATTGGAAGACTCTCCAAGAGATCAATGATCGTCGCGTGGAGCTGCAACGACGAGTAAATCGCTCCATCTTGCCGAAATCTCCTGAACAGCTTACTGTAGCAGACAAGGTCATTCTTACTCGCTATTTAGTGCTTTCGTTGTATAGCCAGGGTCCGAGTCTACGCAATGACTTTTCAGATCTCCCGATCGTCCGTTTTGATGATATCCATGCCCCTTCGACGAAGGACCTGATGGCCGGAAACGGCAACTATCTTCTCGAATTCGCAAAGGGTCACTTCCGTCTTGTGCTCAAGGATTTCAAAACGGCAAAAACGTATGGAGAGCAAACGATTGATCTGCCAACGCGCACTAACAACGTAATCGCAGAGAGTATCGAGGTTTTCCCCCGGAAGTTCCTCCTGAGTCGCATGCGGACACCCGATCAGCCGATGAGTCGCAACTACCTCACCAAATTTTGCTCTCAGATCTTTCCGGATGCTCGTGTAGGCACTTGTTTGCTTCGAAAGATATGCGTCTCGAATGCAATGAAGGACGCACCTAGTATTGCCGAACGAGAGGCGCTCGCAAAACAGATGCTTCATTCATCTTCAATGCAGATGAGAGTCTATGAAAAGAAGTACAATCCAGACGGAACAAAGATACAGTTTGCTAATGCTTAAGTCTCAATGTACACCACTTGTCATTGAGGTTTGAGCGGAATCGCAGCACTGTGAGGTATCCACTAGGCCTCAGCTGATATATATGACGGAATATCTCCAGATAGTCCGTTCTCCTTAGTGAATTGTGACGTTGTGTCCGGTGGTGGGATCGAAAATCCTGCCTTTCTCAGCCCCACGAGAGTTTGTTCGTGGAATTTCTTTGTGCGGCCTGCAATGTATCGCGCATATGCCTTTTGCAGGAGAATCTTCTCCTGGTTGCGACCGTAATAAGCCCTCACTTGCTCTTTGTGCCTTTCTGGATGCAATCGTTGATAACGCCTATGGTTCTGGCAGGCCCTGCAAGGGCACGGCCGAACACCGTCCTCAAAGCTGGCTGAATCTCCGGAGACCAGGGACATTGTCCTACGTAGTTGCTAGGAAATAAAGCTAGCTGCTCGACCGCAGCAGTAAACGTGGTCGCGTTCAGAACGGTTCGATTTTTTCCTTGTGATGAGTGTAGAAAGAATGGCTACGCATGACGTCGAGCACGCTGTCGCCGGTCCTAAGGCCTCGGCCCCAGATATAACCAAGGCCCTAGGGCCCCAGGGCATCAAAGCTGAGATCTTGCGCCTAGGCATGCTTGATTTTTTCGGAATCCCAGTACGCATCTATGTAAAAGCAAACGGCAAGAAAGGTACTAAGTTTCCCCGTAAGTGGGATCATATTTTCACTTCGCAGATCTGGAAAGAGAGCATTCAAGGCATACTTGAAGGGTTTCCAAACCCCAATGGTATTGCCATTCTGACGGGCCCGAGCGGGCTCTACGTCCTGGATTTTGACGTGGGCGATGAAGGGAGGAAACTGTGTGGTTTAAGCCTTTGGAGGAAGCTTATGACTCAACATACGGAGCCTAGTACACTCAAAGCAATTAGCGGGAATGGAGGGTTTCATCTGTACTTTCGAATGGATCAAAGCGCTGGCTTGAAGCAGTTGAACAACTTTGAGACCTTGAAAGTCGATGGCGAGATTTACCGGGCCGATGGAAGAGGGACTGGTGGTGTAATATTTGCCCCGCCGTCATCCTATAGTGGTCCAAATGGCAAGGTTTTGCACTACAGATGGAGTGCAGAGCCAACCTTGAAAGACGCTTGTGTAGAGGGGATGCCTCAGTACCTCGTGGACCTCGTGAATCTTGGACGTGCTTCTGGTTCACCGGATGTGCACTCTTTGCCGGAAGCAAGCTCAGAAGTCAATCACAGAGACACGGTACAAGAGTTTGAGACGAACTCAGGAGTCGTGCCGC